GCCTGTGCAAGGCATTCTAATACAGAGGAGGGAGGGGTTCAGCAGCCCCCACCCATAACTAAGGAGCTATCTACAGTTGATGACTTCTAAAGGGAGTTTGGTTTCCTTGAAGGGTGAGGCTCCTGGCAAGTTGCTCACGCTCTATTGGATAGTCTCGAAATCACTGATTATATGAGCAGCAGAAATTTGACATGGTCCATAAAAAACAAACAAACAAACAAAAAAAAAAAAACAGGGCACAAAGTTGGGGGGGGGGGTGGTAAGAAGATTGAGAGTGGATCTAGGAGTATGCAACCAAAATACATTGTATAATATTCTCAAAGAACAAATACAATTATTGTAATACTTTTTAAAATGATGTCAACAGTTAAGGAATAATGATTAAAGTATAATAGAATTAATTAAGCTGAGATGTGGTGGAGCATGCCTAAAATTCCAGCATTGGGAGGCAAAGGCAGGAAGGAAGATTATTAAAAGCTAATTGGCCACATAGTAAGACCTGGGCTTAAAAAAAAAAAAAAAAAAAGTAACAGCATAGTGGGACCTTTAATCCCAGTATTAAGGAGCAGAAGCTGTCAAATTTGTAAGTTTGAGGCCAGCCTTATCACTATAATGAGTTCTAGGCTAGCCAACATACACAGTGATACCTGTCTCAAAAAATGAAAACAAAATAAAATAATAGAATTTAAAGCTAGTCTACTCACATATGATAATCACATGCTCACCTATGACAAAGATGTATAAACAAGTAATTAAATCACCCAAATTTTATTGACTGGTTAACGTTCAGTAAGACATGGCTAGCTTGTCTTAAAGAATGGACTTAAGAAGAATGTTTTCGAAGTAACTTACTCTAAAATGGTATTTATTTGTAGCACCCTAGTTTTGCTTGATGTCAAAACCATACTGTGGGAGTTTGAATGAGAATAGCCTCCTCACACATTTAAATGCTTGCTCCTGACATGATGGAATTGTTTTGGGGAAATATCAGGAGGTACAACCTTGTTGGAGGAGTGTCACTCCTTCTCCATGGTGCTGGGGTTTCAAAAGCCCATCCCACTCCCAGTTAGCTCTCCAACCCACCACTCCCAGTCTCCCTTTGTGGATCAGATGTGAGCTCGGAGCTGCTGGTCCAGCACCATGTCTGCCTGCTGCCATGCTTCCCCATAATGGCCATGCATTCACTCTCTGAAACTGTAAGCAAGTCCCCAATTACACACTTTCTTTTATAAGTTGTTTTGGTTGGTGTCTTTTCACAGCAACAGAAAGGTAATTGAGACGCATACCATGCCTGTATAAATGTAATCTGAAGTTTTTCTATTCTGGCAAACAGAACTTAGGCTGGGGCATGTGAATATGCATGTTCTGACTTGTACATCTCACACCCGAGCTTGCCTTCTGCCCTGCAATAAAGGCTCTGTTCTCAGAATTCAAGGTTAGTGCTGAGGGTGCTTAACCTAACTCTCACAAAAAGCGCAGCTTAAAAAAAAAAATGTAACCACAGAGTCTAACATATGGGAGTTGCACTTGCCACATATTCCTATCATTGTTTCATGGATTGCTGTCATCATTATTTACATTTTGCACACTTATATTCTGCTAAAGAATTTATGCTGCAGAGCTGGGGCTATAGCTCAGTTGGTAGAGCAGCTCCAAGGACGAGGGTCTTCGGCTGACATCCCCCACCAGCCAAGCTTAAAATGCACATGGATAAATTCCTGTCACTTGGATGGAGGCCTCCCTATCTCCACACAGCCCAGGATTTGAGCTTAAGTAACAGCTTCTATAAATAGATCAATTTTTTTTATTCCTTTCTAAAAATCATCTCCCTAGCCCATATGACTCAGTGACTCTTAAGGTGACTAAGTATTATCTGAGAGTCCCTGGAAAAGCTACGTTATTTAGAATTCAAGACAAAAACCATGTGGTTCAAATATAAGAGAAAGCTGTAATTAAGAGAGAAGGGCTGCTGTCGAGTTCTTCTTAAAAACAAAAACAAAAACAAAAAAAAGAAAGTAAAAAAGAAAACAAAGTAGAAAATGGTTTAATAATCTAGGCTTAGTGGCATACACACTCCAATTGCAGTACTCAAGAGGTTGTGTCAAGAGAGCTGAGTTCAAGGACAGCCTGAGCTACATAATAAAGCCTTAAAATATTTTTAATGAAATTACAATACATTTCATCAGCATAAAAGGCCCCTCTAGTTCCCAGTAACCTCTCTTGCCATTAAGCACTTTCCCCTCTGACATCTGCTTCCCATCTCACAGCACTTCCTTCAATCTTTTCATCCATTCCAGACTTGAACCTTGACCCACATTCCTTCGTATTCTTATCCATCTTTCTCCTGTCACTGAGCACCCAATCAAGACTCTGAAGCAATGATTTCTGGGGAAAATCAAATGTGCCCAAGTCAATTAGTAGTAACCAGTTTAATTGCCACCCTAAAGTGAATACTCTCTCTACACGTCTAATTTTACTGTTGAGAACTTTAACACAAGGGCAAATTGGGATAATTATATTTAGAAGTAATTTGAGCTATTAAAATAGACACTCATGGGCCATTGTTTTGGTTATTATCATCAGAAATAAAAAAATTTAACAAAAATACTATCAGAACTAATAATGCTAATGAATAGCCAGGATCTTTCATTAGTGGGAGATAAATCACATCTCCACAGCAATGCTTACTTGACTTTTTGACCTTGAGGAAATCTGCCCCCTCACCCACTGGTATAGTTTCTGGTACATGAAAATGATTTTCCAATCCTCACTTAGTATTCAAAAACTTGCACTAGGGTTATTTTCCCAAGATGTTTACATAGGGGAAATGAGGCAGGAATATCACCAGCATTGCCATAAGGCAATTGACAATCCAGAAAAACTAAACAAAGTAGTTTAACCAACCCGAGAGAAAACCTACAGGGTCTTTGAGTAAATTAGCCCTTTATTTATGGATTAAAATCAATAATGTATTGTTACTGATACTAGAACCCTCCAAAACCAATAACATATGCATAAAGGAGGATTAATAAAATCCATTTCAACTTTTCCTGGCCCTCCTATTTTATACAATAGTCTGTCAGGTAGATGACATTTGGTGGGTGGCTTAGCCATGAAGTTAGTGAATCTAGGCTCATACTGCAGCTATGCCAGCTCTCTCAAAGCAGGAAGGCAGTTTTACTGATGATAACAGATCACTTTGAGGGTGGAACACATATAAGTATGTGTATAACCAAACCATCAATGGTAAATGTTAGTTATGACCAGCCACCATTAGTATTGAATACTGTGCCTATGCAGCAGGAAATTTCAGTTACCCAGAATATAATCACATTCAGTTCAGTTCTAAGACCACCCCCTAAAAACAAACAAACAAACAACAGAAACAATGATGACAACAAACTCTAACTGAAGAACAGCAAACTGTATAGTTTGGAACCTGTTGCCACTGTTAAATCTAGCTGGCCAACCAGCCCCCATCCCCCACACCCCTCTCCACACCCCCATCCCAGAATCCTCCTTCTCACCTCTGCCCCATTGGCAAAATTTCAGGTGGGTGGCTCTGGCCTGAGTTCTCACACAATTTCTAGGAATCAGAACCCAGCCCCTCACACTTGCAAGGTATACATTTTGCTGAATGAGCCATCTCCCAAGCTCCTGGAACTTAGTTTTTTGTTTTGTTTTGTTTTGTTTGGGGGGGTATTTATTTATTTATTTATTTATAAACAATCTTATTTTACATATCAATCCCAGTTCCCTCTCCCTCCCATCCTCCCTTGCTCCCCACTAACCCCCTCCATCCACTCCCCAGTGAGGGTGAGGCCTTCCATGGGGGATCATCAAAGTCTTTCACATCATTTGCAGGAGGGCATAAGCCCTCCTGCATGTATTTAGGCTGAGAAAGTATCCCTCCATGGGGAATAGGCTCCCAAAGTCCATTTGTGCACTAGGAATAAATACTGGTTCCACTGTCAGAGGCCCGATAGACTGCTTAGGTCTCTTAACTGGCACCCACATTCAGAGGGCTTGATTGGGTTCAATACTGATTCTCCAGCTTTATGACTGGTGCTAGTTTTTTAAATAAATCAAAATACATAAAAGTTAAAGATGAATTTTTTATCTTATTAAAAGAATAAAAATATGTATCTCATTGGTATATAGAGACTTTTTATAACCTTGGAGGGGAAAGATATAAAACTGCTTCCAATGAAACCTAAAAGGCCCTAAGGGCCGTATGTGATTATCTGTTAATCACTTGGGTGGATTTTACCACTTGGGTGGCTTTTACTTGCTCCAAACATAAAATTGTAATCAAGTCTAAAAATCTAGACTATGAGAAATTACGTAAGATAAACAATCTTATTTCTTCAACAAGTAAACTGAGGACAAAAAGGCCAAATAAAATTTGAGACACTTTAAAGCACAAATAGACAAAACCAAACTAAAGAGTCATGTGCTTTAATGACAAAACTATAAATCACAGTGCTGAGGGGCAGCCTCACAGTCAGTCTTTACAAAGCTCCCTGCGGGAGGGTGGAGGTGGGGCTTGGGTGTGCAAACAAGCAGGTGAGCTCTCTGGCCAAGCAGCTTGAACTGGATGGAAGTCATAGGTGCTTGCCTTTAACAAGTCATCTGTCCATTCATGATTTTATGTATATCTCTTAGTATTACATTTTAAAGTATTTTAAGTTAAAATTACAAATTTAAAGATTTACCAAAGCAGCAATTACATCTTTCATATGAATGTATTCCTTGTCTCACATCCATAATCACACCCCTAATCAAATGCACTACACTTGACCTTTTAAAAACAGAAGCTCTGACAAGGGAGCAGAGCCCTTTAAGAGACTGCCTTCTGGGCATTCTGTAAATCAGGTACAGTTTTCATTTAAGGAGTCCAACTCAGTTGGCAGAATGCATATCCACCAAGCACTAAGTCCTGGGTTGCAAACTCAGTGCTTAAAAAAGATTCCCCACAAAGAAAGGAAATGTTCACTTACTTTGTTTTCCACAGCCTTGCCTCCACGTTCAATGTGTCTCTCTACATAACCAGAGGACAGCAACTCACTACAAGAACAAAAAAGAAATGGCAGTTAAGGATGATGCTGTAGCTGAAGACAACTCAGGAACAGAACAGAGGTTGCCAAGCATGCTCCAAGGCCTGGATTTCATCCCCAGCACTTCAGGGGTAAAAAAAGATGGCTTTGAACATACATCACATTTGAAAACGTGCATCAAGTGCACATATACCTACTTTAACAATTCTTTAATTCAGATTTTTAAAACAAAATCAACACTTTACAGAGAGCGAGGAAAGAAGGAGGTGGGGGGGCAGAGAGGGAGGGAAGATGGGAAGATGTTAAACAGCTAGTGCTTCCACAAGGAGACAGACAAAACTGAGCTGTCTTTACTACCTGTTATCCCATGGCAGAGCAGAGCCCATTCCCTGACCCAGCACTGGGTCTAGGAAACTATAGCAACACCATTTTTTTTTTTTTAAATACTTTAGTCTTGATTTTTGTTTTTTGTCTTTTTCTACAGCTTTCTATCAGAAAGTTAATTTGCTCCCCATATCTTACCATATGTATCACGTCTGTTATTTTTCTTACAAATTATTAGTTTCTATCACACACAGAAAATGAAAAGGAATGGGAAAAGGGTACCAAGATGGCACAGCAGGTAAAGACGCTTGCTACCAAGTGTGACAACCTCACTTCTGGAACTCACAGAGTGGAAGGAGATGACTACCTCTCCCAAGTTGTCCTCTGAGCCCCACATGCACACTGACACCCAAGCACCACATCTACTCACGCTCGCATGCGCGCGCATGAACACACACACACACACACACACTTGCATACTAAGAGAAGCAAAGAAATGGAAAGCAAAACATCATCAATATTTTGAAGTATTCTTTCTTAAAGTTTTCTAAACAACCTTCTTGTATGATTGCATGCTCATCTAATTAGCATTTATTTATTTACTTTAGATAACCTGTATGGGTGTTTTACCTACATGCACGTCTGTGTGCCACTTGCATGCAGTGCCCATGGAGCTAGAAGAGAATGTAAGACACCATGGAACTGGAGTCAGAGATGGTTGTGACCCACAGAGTGGGTGCTGGGAATTGCATCCAGGCCCTTTACAAGAGCAGCCAGGGGTCTTCTGTATCACCTTGCGTAAGGAAACCTACTACTGAAGAAGGTTACTAAAATATACTAAATATACTGTATAAAATGAATTTAAATGGAATTACATATTATGGGGGATAGAATGACCCAAATAGACATCACATGACACCAAATGAAATCCCCAATACCAGGAATGGGTTACAGCTCTTTTCAGTCATTGTCAAAGGGTCCATAAACACCACTAAAAAACATCACAAACTATTGGCAATGCTATTGGTTACCCACTACAACCTCTTGCTGAAGACAGCACATGTACATGTCATTGAACATGGAGAAATTGAGCTTGGGCCCTACTAGAAGATTCATCCCTTCTGACTAGCATTCACAGTGCTGGAAGGTGTTTGTTTATACTTGGTAGAAGAGGAGAAAAAATAATCATCAATCTCAACCAGCAACAAACTTGGTTGTTTTTTGTTTGTTTGTTTTTTGTTTGGTTTGGTTTTTTTCCCCCTTTTCTCAGCAGCTATCAACTACTTATAAATTCTTGATTAGAAGTGGGATTCTACATCTACTTCCCATTCTCAGAACTGGGATTTTGTCTGGCTAGAACTTGTATAGGTCTTATGCATACTATGGCGATCTCTATGAGTTTATATGTGCACCTGTCCTGTTGTGTCTGGAGAACACTGTTTAAGTCCTCCATCATTTTTGTCTCTTACAATCTTTTCACTTCTTCTCTGTGATCCCTGAGCCTTGAGAAGAAGAGAGTGATAAAGACATCCCATTTAGGGCTAAGTGTTCCAAAGTCTTTTGCTGTGCATATTGTTCAGTTATGAGTATCAATATTAACTATCATCTACTGCAAGCAAGAAGAAACTTCTCTGATGAGGGTTGAGAAATGCACTGGACTATGGGTTTAGCAATATATCATTAGGAGTCATCTTATTGCTATGCACTAAGTAATAGTAATAGTAATAGGTTTACTAGGTAGGCCCATAGCCTATCTAGTCTTAGGTTCGTGGCCTCATTAACAGTGTCAGGTATGGATTTCATCTTACTGAACTGGCCTTAATTAAATCCAATGGTTGGTTATCCTCCTAATGTTTGTGCCACTATTGTGCTGGTGGGTATGTCTTTTAGGCAGGTCACAAACTGACTGTCTCCTCATCCCAGAGTTGGGGTCACAGGCAACCTTTTACTTGGAATACTTGTACAGTCAACCACTGAGCCACATTCCCAGGCCCAAAATAAAATTATCATGAATAACTAAAATGAATACACGAAGCTATAAATTTTTGATCAAAAATTAAAAAAATATCTTCTAAAACTGTTTTATGAGTCATCAAGCTAAAGTTGTCCCAATTGTAAACTTCTGAGCATGTGACCCATCATGATGAGCATCACGGCTACAGTTGTCCTAAATGTAAACTAAATGTGCAAGCAAGTACTACATTAATGCACATCTACAGTGCTGTAGAATCTATGATTTTACTTCCACTCAGGACAGTAAAATCCAGGTATCATTTGCCTTTGAAAACATATTCATATTCTGTCCCCCCCTCGTGTTTGGGGGAGAGAAGGAGAGAGAGAGAGAGCACGCATAATGCTTATTTATCATTTTGTCTAGTGTTGCTGGCCAGTTAATAGGGAGTTAACACCAACAAAAAAGTGAACTAAACTATCAAGACACTTATCATCTTCTTATTGGAAATTCCAGGGCAATTATAATTCAATTTTCAGTTAATATTCGGTTGTTAGATGAATAAACTTGAGCCTTAAAATGTGTGTGTGTGAGAGAGAGAGAGAGAGAACCATTGAGACATTGTAAGTATGGATGAGTAGGTAATCAGCCAATTGTGTTATATGTAGGCAGAATTCACAGCATGGCATCTATCTATGGATTTTCCCAATAACTGAAAGAATTACTGTTGCATAGACAACTGGGAATAGTACTCTTTTTCCTTTTAGGTCAGTTCTGGACCTTGTAGGGAACCATCGGTAGGAAAGGCAAATACAGCAGTGAGAGAAGTCACATATGGAACTCTGTGTGTGGTTCCTCTCGCCAGTTAACTCCCTGTTCTAAGTATGCTGACCTACGTCTCTAGACTCTCACTCTGTGCCTAAACTGACTTATCTTCAGTTTAAAAGGTTATTCCGTTCATCTGTTCTACCTCTGAGACAGTTTACACAGTAGCAGGATGCCACTGGCCCATCAGGGTACTTACAGAGCTGGTCCACACTGTATCGTGGCACCACTGAGACTAAGGGTACTTTGTTTGCTAAAACATATTGTTGTTGCTTTATGGGTATGGGCATTTTGCCTATGTGTATGTTTGTGTACCACAGGTGTGCCTGGTGCCTGCAAGTCAGAAAAGTGCATCAGAGCTCCTGGAGCTAGAGTGTCAAACTGTTGTGAGCCACCATGTGGGTGTTAAGAATTGAACCCAGGAAGAACAGCCAGTACTCTTAACCAATGAGCCAGCTCTCTCCAGCCCCAAGAGAATTCTTAAATTTCTACTCTGCCATCAATCAGTGTAATGTGGGGCTGTTCTCTTAATTGGATCATCTAATGGCCCTAATGTGGCTGCTGCAATTTCTAAGAATCTCATGAAGACAAATACATCCCAAGATTTAGCAGAAGGAAGGAGGGGAGAAGTCAGGAGGGAGGAAGGGCTAGCCTGATGGGCCACACTTTCTTTAAAGGGTAAGCAAATGTTTTTACAAAACTCTTAGCTTTAATCTTCTCAAATGTCTTTTTCCAGAATTATATTATGTGGTTACACCTAAACCAATACTTTGACAAAGACACCAAATAATCTAGATTCTCTGTCACAGAACATGACAAGCACTCAGAGTTGAGCAGGATTAAGGGACAAAGGGCAGGAGAAAGAATAACTGTCGCATAGACAACGAACAACTTCTTTTCTTAGGTATGTTGAATCAAGTGTTTCTAACAAAACATTAATCTGTGTACAGCAGACCAGCCTCAGACAAACGGAGTTGCAACAACATCTACACCACACTAGGCTAACCTAGTGTCCCAAACAGGATGGGTTCTGGCCAGAATTCTGCATAGAGTTCTCCCTTGGCTTTGGTACTATATGATACATCTTCCCTGAAGTGGGGGAAAAAAGAAAACAGAAACACTACCACACAGAGGTAATGTTTATTAGCAGAGCCAGCCAGGTTCCAGCTGTTGGTATCTGAACTAGTAAATTCTGGGAAGAGGGAGAAAGCCGTTCAACTGATGGAGGAAACTGAAGCTGGGCTTTAGAACATAGTGGTGGTCTTCAGAATAGTCTTCAGAAGAACATAGTGGTAGCAGTAGTACCAGTGATCTTAATTCCTTAAAAACAACTTTTAAGTCTTCTGGATTTTCAATTTCCAAGGGAATATTTTCATTTGAACTATAAAATCTAGGCAATAAGACAGTGTGAATTACAGCAAGAGTAATTAGAGCAAAGAGAAGCCCTTTGCTCAAGGGTTATACTTTCCAATCAAGTATCAATCTACATCTACTGCTAGGAAAGGCACCATGCAACTCCATTTTGTTTGTATGTAGAATTGTAAAAATAAGCTAAGTACTGTCATTTTAATGACTGGGTTGGAAATCCTTCCATTAAAAATGTCACTGTACCTTCTACTGAAATGTAAAATAGTACTTATTGCCATCAACAGGGATTAAGTACATTTTCATAAAGTCTCATGAAGTAGAAATAATCAAAATTATCGTGTCTTTTTCTTAAGGACATTGTTGTTTATTTATTGTAAAGCAAAAATCTACTTGGATCACTGTAAACATGGGAAATGGGAGGGTCTCCGTTGCATAGAGAAAATGTTATCCTACCAGAAATGTACAAAGAAAAGTTCACTCTATGCTGACAGCTTACTTAATACTTTGTATATAGATGTTCCTTTAATGAACTTTAAGAGGTA